AGGGTATCATTAAGGGTGACCTCGTCAACGCCTACGGTCCCACCGAGAACACCACCTTCAGCACCATCTACAAGGTCCCGGCCAACGAGAAGTGTGTCAATGGCATGCCCATCGGCGTAGCCATCAGCAACTCGGGCGCCTTCGTCATGGACCCGGAGCAGCGCCTTGTACCTCCTGGCGTCATGGGTGAGCTCATCGTCACTGGCGACGGTCTCGCCCGTGGATACACCGACGCGGGGCTCAACAAGGACCGCTTCGTGCATGTGGTCATTAACGGCGAGTCTGTCCGCGCCTACCGTACCGGTGACCGAGTGCGCTACCGCCCTTTGGACGGCATGATCGAGTTCTTTGGCCGTATGGACTTCCAGGTGAAGCTCCGTGGTCACCGCGTTGAGTTGCCCGAGATCGAGCATGCTCTTCTGCGCAGCGAGTCTGTCAGCGATGTCGTGACTCTGGTACACCAACCTGAAGGCGAGCCGGCGGAGCTTATTAGCTTTGTCACTATTCAAGGTGATATTGCGGATGCCGCTGCTCAGCAGGCCTCTCAGGACCAGAAGGACGCCGGCGACGACGGCCGACTCGAGAACCAGGTCGGGTCTTGGAGGGATCTGTTCGAGAATGGCACCTATGCCGACATTAATACAATCGACACCACCAAGGTCGGCAGAGACTTTATGGGTTGGACGTCCCAGTACGACGGCGAGCTCATCGACACCGTCGAGATGAACGAGTGGCTAGATGACACCATACGCTACATAAACCGCAATGGCGGACAGCCACGCAATGTCCTGGAGGTTGGGACCGGTACGGGTATGATCTTGTTCAATCTCATCGACAACCTTAACAGCTATGTCGGGCTTGACCCGTCTGCGTCTGCCGCTGCTTTCGTCAACAAGATGGCCCAAGCAAGGCCTGCCTTGGCTGACAAGGTCGATGTGCGCGTCGGCACCGCCATCGACGTCGACTCCCTGGGCGAGCTTAACCGCCCGGACATGGTGGTGATTAACTCGGTGGCACAGTACTTCCCCACGCAAGAGTACCTCTCCTCGGTAGTGGACAAGTTGCTGGCCATTGACGGCGTGGAGCGCATCTACTTTGGCGACATGCGCTCCTGGGCCATCTACCGCGACTTCTGCACGACCAGGGCCCTGCACCAACTAGGCTCCTCTGCCACCAAGGAAGCAGTGCGACGCGAGCTGGCGGAGAAGGCTGAGGAGGAGGAGGAATTCCTCGTCGACCCGGCCTTTTTCACCAAGTTGATGAGCCGCCTGCCAGAGATTGTCGAGCACGTTGAGATTCTTCCCAAGCGCATGAAGGCCACCAACGAGCTGAGCTGCTACCGTTTCGCGGCCGTCATCCACAAGCGCCAGGCCGGTCAGTCCAAGACTATCCAAGTGATCAGCGAGGACGCCTGGGTCGATTTCAAGGCCAAGCAGCTGGATCATGCTGGCTTGTTAGGCCTCCTGCGGGCGTCCTCGGCCGCCTCTACAGTTGCCGTGAGCAACGTGCCCTACAGCAAGACCATTCTCGAGCGCCACATCGTCGACTCGCTTGACGACGAGACCGAGAAGGCAGCCGACTGGTTCTCGTCACAGCGTGAGGCTGCCGAGCGCTGCCCAGCCCTATCGGCTTTGGACCTGGCTGAGCTAGCTGAACAGGCTGGCTTCAAAGTCGAGCTGAGCTGGGCGCGCCAGCGTTCCCTTCGCGGCGGCATGGATGCCGTCTTCCACCGCGTCGACGGTCTGCGCCCCTTGTTCCGCTTCCCGACTGAGCACGAGGGCCGGTCCAAAGAGTCTCTGACCAACAGTCCCCTGCGCCGTCAAGAGGCCCAGGTAGTCGAGGCTCTGCTCAAGACAGCGCTGCAGGCCTCGCTGCCCAGTTACATGATCCCTGCACGCATCACTGTGCTGGACAAGATGCCCATCAACGCTAACGGCAAGGTGGACCGCAAGCAGCTGGCCAGACTGGCGAGCGTGTTCGCCAAGGCGACCAGGGGCTCTCGCCAGATCGTGGAGCCGCGCACAGACTTGGAGCGTGCCGTGTGCGAGGAGCTCTCGAGCGTGCTCAACGTCGATGCCGTCGGCATCACCGACAACTTCTTCGACCTTGGCGGCCATTCGCTCAAGGCCCCGCGTGTTGCCGCGCGCATCAACCAGCGCCTGAATGCAACTATCCTCCTGCGTGACGTGTTCGCCTACCCTGTGGTTGCTGACCTGGCCAAGAAGGTTGGCGAGTCGCTGAGCGATTCGCTCCAGGACAAGCTGGACCAGGACTCAGGCGAGGACTCGGCCATTGAGATTGAGGACGAGGAGGAGCTGCTGACCATGTCGCTGGCCACCAAGCTGCGACACTTCAACTCTGTTGCCCGTCCGCAGTGCGTCAAGGCGCTAGGTATCGCCAGCGAGGACATCGAGGAGGTTCTGCCCGCCACCGGTGTCCAGACCCGCATGCTCGTCTTCGTCGAGGAGGCCGAGGAGATGAACATCACCAAGCCCTGCATCGAGCACTTTGTTTACCACGTGCCCGACGAGCTCGACCCCGCCCGCCTTGAGCAGGCCATTGTCGACGTCACCAAGCGCCACGATGCCTTCCGTACCGTCTGGGTGCAAGTCGAGCACCCCCTGAGCCCCTACGCCCAGTGCATCCTCAACCCTACGCACCCCCGTGCCCAGCTGCCCATGGTCCACAGCATCGTGCACGAGTACGACACCAGCCCGGATAGCCTCTGGAAGCAGACCATCGGCAACGCCCAGCGCAGCGCCGAGGAGTACATCCGTCTGGACCGCGTCGGTGCCGTTGTCCAGGTCGTGCGCTCGGCCGACAACAAGCACCACGTCCTCATCTTCTCCCTCTTCCACCTCATCTACGACGGTATGAGTCTCGACTTCCTACGCCGCTCGTTTGCGCAGGCGTACGAGGGCGTTCCTCCCAGCAACCTGCCCGCGGTCGGCATGCGCCTCCCCGTCGAGGAGCACTACAGCACCGACTGGCTTGCTACCAGCATGTACTGGATGAAGCGTCTCGCCGGTGTGGCGCCCTTCAAGGCTGGCCAGACGGTGCTCAAGGGTGCGATTCCCGGACAGTTCACATCAATCCGTACCACCCAGGACACCGCCTGCGAGATCCTCGAGTCCTCTATCAGCTTGAACGAGCTCTTCTCCCTCAGCAAGACCGCCAAATTCCCCTCGCCCATGGCCATTGTTCAGGGTGCCTGGGCCATGACACTGGCGCAGACTCTCGTCAAGGCCAAGAGCGCTGGCCAGGAGCCTTCCACAGCCAACCTCGACGTGCAATTTGGCAGCGTCTTCCACGGCCGCCACAGCCCTGAGGCCCTCCGCTGCGTGGCCCTGATGCTAGACGTCCTCCCCACACGCATCGTCTTCTCGGACGCGTACAAGGGCGAGGAGAAAGGCGGGCCCAAGAAGCGCACGCACCGCGAGATCTGCCAGGAGCTGTTCACGCAGTACGTCGACTCCCTGGGGTACTCGGAGATGCCCTGCCCCACCATCGACTTTGCCAAGCTGACGCGCCGCTTCGACAACACTATCATCCTGCAGGCCTACCCCAAGGAGGAGGTCGATGTCGACGCCAGCGGGCTGCCGAAGACCAGCATGGAGACCTTGCCCGGGTTCACCCGCGAGGAGCACCTGCAGGCTCCCTGGAAGGAGACCAACCACGGCTACCCGATCTTGATGGAGCTCTGGCCCGGGCGCGACAGCGAGGACGACAAGTTCCGCCTACGCTGCACCTATAACAAACGCTGGCCGGGCTACGAGTTCATGACCCAGGAGTGGGCCCAAGGCTTGCTGCTGACCCTGAACCACGCGCTCGATCAGATCTTGCACAACCCTGATAGAGAGTTTGACCCTGTGAGACTTGTCGAGGCAAGACAACAGTAGATGTTTATAATGAGTGGTGAACTGGGATGATTCTATCCCTTAAGAATCCTGTATATAATTTGGAAATTCGGTTTAGATGTTTGGCTTTGGGGACCGACTGTTTTATCCTTTTTTTCGGTGATGATGCTTCTTGTTCTTCTTGTTTTCTCTGTCTTGTCAATTTGTCATGGTTGCGACTATTAGCTTGCTTCATTTCTAGTTCAATTAGATCTTCGCCATTCAATTTCATCTCTGAAGAGTTCAAAGTGCAGTTGTGCATTGCGTGCTATATATTTTTACAAACCTCTTGATATGCTGCATTCTTTATTCAATGCACCAATGTGCTGTTTATTGCAATAATACGTCCTATCGGATGCCGAAGTACTAAAATTACGTCAAACAACGCCGTTGCAAGTGGTGCAGCTATTCCTCTTTGCCCGTCTGGATTGCTGCCTCTAGATAAGACCTACCCCAGAGTAAGCAACTGCAGCACCATCATCACCCCGTTCCGATTTATGTTACCTATGCAAGATTGCAATGCCTCTTGTGGATCTTGGGCAACTTTCTTCAATCGATATTGATGTTATTTATCATAAGGTTGGGTACTTCTGTTCATTTGTAAATGAACCCCATTTTGCTCATCGCGAAGGAAGTAAGAATGTGACGTTTTGCAGTTGGGCAATTATCTCACAAGATTTAGTGCTTGGTGTCAATTCTAAGAGAGGTAAAATACCGTGAATTCTCCGCAGTTGGTGGTTATTCAGCACCCACCCACATTGCTGCGGTAATTGTCATATAATTTGGATCAATCTCGGATTAACTGGGATGTAACATTCAGTTGATAGCCCCTGGATTATTCAACATACATAGGGACATCGAAAATCGAGAGATAGAATCAACCCTTCGTGCGTCAATTGGCTTTTCCTCGATACTATGTACGGTGTATGCTCTATATGAAAAGAATCCAACCGCTGAGCCAGTGGCCATGCAGTCCAAATGCATCGTAGTGCTCCAGTCGAGAAATCCACCAGGCTGCCCCAGCCGGGACCTATTCAGCCGTGTTGGCGTACTCATTGATGTTGATTTGACGCTCAGGAAGGCCGTAGCTCTTCAGAAGCGCTGTCAAGGTGCCGCTTGTGTCTTGAAGATCATTGTCTCAATCACCCGTCCCTCCTTCCAAGTGATATGCGTACTGCTCTGGAATAGTATCGTTGCCTGCAATCTGGGCCAGCCAATTGGCCCACTAGGTGTTGCCAGCCACGGGGCGATAAGCAAGCGTAGGCCTAGAGAGTGAACTCGATCAAAGCCGGCGTCTTCACTATATCTGCGTATTAGCAACTCGCCCAGGTCTCTTAAAAAAGAATCACTTACCGAATAATTTTGTATGTTCGAATATATAAGTCGAACCACTGCTGCTGGGAGCGAACCCAGAAGTTCTCAATGTCTGGTTCATCCCAAATGTCCCAAACAAGCCCGTCGAGAGCACTGTGTGCCTTGAGATCGGACATCAAAGTTCTCACAATGATGTCATATTTTGACCAGTCTCCGTCGTCGCCAGGCCAGTTCATCGCTGTATGAAATATCTACATTCAAATGATGCTTCCATACTATCCACTCAATGGTGGACGGAGGTTGCTTGATTGAACAAGGTTAGCGAAATCATCTGCCTGCGCAAGACCTGCTTGGCAGCTGATTCTGCGCAACTGGGCGGCAGTCCACGCACGGGTCTCGTGGCTGAGGTTGTGCATGCAGCCCACAGTGAGGAGAACCCAGCAGGCAAAGTAGCCGCCGGCGGCCGAGCCAGCGCTGTTCTGGGAGCGCTCGTGCTGCTGCTGCTGCTGCTGCTGCTCCTGCGCCGGGGAAGTGGCGTAGCCCATGAGCTGGGGCACGGAGGCGAGCATCTCGTCGCGCAGGCGGACGATGGTCTGGGTGGCCTGGTGCAGGCGGTCGGCGTGATTGTTGGCAAAGAACCAGTTGCTGTCGGTGTTAGCGCCGCGGAGGAGGAGGTGGCTGATGGCATGGTTGGCGAGGATGCGGCAGATGCGCATGCCGTTCCAGACGGAGGCGATCCAGACATCGTGGTAGATGTGGTTGACGTCGCGCCGGATGCGAGTCCGATCGTAGCTGTTGCTGGACGAGTTGGATTTGTCGGTGAACTGCCACTCGGAAGGGCACTTGGAGAAGGCGCTCTCGAGGCGGTAGTCAATCTCGAGCACCTGTGAGAGGCAGCGCTCGAGGTGCTCAATGGAGATGTTGGCACCCTGGAGAGGACCGGAGAGCGTGGAGGTAGAGGCGGGGGAAGAACCGGAGGCAGTAGAGGGGGAGTTGGAGGAATCGGAAGGGGCGGCGGGAGCGGAGGAGGAGGTGCCGGAACAGTTAGGAAAGAACGAGTAGCCGCCCGGAGAAATGTGCTGGTAGAGATCCAGAAGCTCGACCACGCCGCTGCAGGCGACCCAGTAGGGATCCGAGACGCTGATGGCGTTGCCGGCCTCGATGCGCAGCATGCGTAGGCTCGAGGGCATGGGGGAACCGGCGCGCAGGCAGTTGGTGAGGAGCTGGGAGAAGACATCCTTGAAGATCTGCTGGCCGGTCGAGGTGGAGAACTGGGAGCGGCCGCGCAGGTTGAGGAGCGAAGTGGCACCCTCAATGTGGTGCTTCCAGCCGTCGATAGAGGCCCTGCTGAACTCGTAGAGGGCGAGGAGGAGGACAGAGACGATGGTGCTGTCGCGACGGGCGGCCTGGGGGTCGGCGAGGGCGAGATTGACACGCTCCATGGTGCGGGTGTACATCATCATGGACCGGGTTAACAGGTCGGCCTGGCTAGTGGTGCGAGCGAGCCCACTGAAGCCGACAGCCAGAATGGCACCCTCGAGCATGTCATTGCCGCCGTCGTCTTGCGCCAACATGGCCGGAGCGTAGTCGAAGAAGCCCGAGGAGGGACCGGACTGCCGAACGACATAGCGAGAGAGGAAGAAATTGAGACCGGTGATGACGAGAGGCAATGAGAAGGGACGCGCTATGACCTCGGGCTGACTGCTGGTGAAGTTGTTGTGTCCTAGCCGTTGGCGGTTGCCCCGGTTGCTGCCGTCATCAGGGGACTGATCGAGAGCCACATCGTCGCCGCCTACGCTAGAAGCGCCGACACGGGAACGACGCCCAGACGCGGAGGCAGGAACAGAAGCAGCGGATCCAGGATCGTCGCTTGATACCGGCATGGCGCTGGGCGAGGCATCCTGGTGGAGGGAGAAGAGCCCAGTCTCGTCCGGATTGAAAGGGTCGTGGAAGCTCATCGACTCGGGCATGAAGCTGCCGCCGGCGAACATCCCGGCTCCGACATCGAAGTCGCTCATGTCCAGCATGGTCTCGTCGACGACATCGGAGGAGCGGCTGACGTGATAGTCCGGTGCGGAGGTGTTTTGTTGTTGGTTCTGTGCCTGTGGGCGGTCGGTTGGGATGGCCGTCGAAGTCCTCTTGGAGACTTTTGAGCGGGCGCGGTTGATGACCTGGGTGCTCTCATCGCGAAAGATGAGGCTTAAGGGATCTCGGTACCCGGGGCATTTCTGACCCGTGCGCCAACATTGGCCGCATTCTGGGACTGCTTTATCGCACTTTTTTTTTGTTAAGGTTAAATGTGAGCCAACATGTCTTTTTTTCACTTTTTTTCCCTGATGATTTTCTGTCTTTGGTAAAGGGGCGCAAACAGTAATGACTTACTCTTCTCTTCTTGGCGCGACAATTGCTGCAACTCGTTGAAGGACGACCGCAGTAGACCATGATGGCGATTCTACCAAGTGGTGATGATGATTGTGGATAGATAAACGGACCGACTTAGTACGTGGATAAGAGAGAGGGGACCGTCCCATTCCGCGTGGAGACAAGGTAAGGCTGGATAAGGTGAATGCCAAGTTCAACGATACGGGTCAAAAAGGACGGGAAAGAGAAAGCAAGACGAGACGATTTGAAGGCGAAAAACGCTGTGCCTAACTACACCACACAATTTATTAGCGCCCGGTGGCTAGGCCGGAAGGGCAGCTATCGTTGATCTACTATACATGTCCTAATATATACAGTACTGTGTCTCCTTAGAGCTTACGTGTGCTTAAGTACAATAGTTAAAAGTCAATTTTCTTCTGCTTCGGGCTTGGTTTGAAGGACCCCGCGTAGCAGCAAGTATTTAACTACTACTCATCAAATAAGTTTGCTGTCAGTATATAGCCTTAAGACTATCGCTACTTACCCCGTAAAACGGCCTTCCCCTTAAGGCCCTTAATAGAGTCGCGTAAAAACCAAATACCCAAAAAAGCTAAGCAACGGCTTATGTTACGATCTGGCATCTGGTGGAGCCGAAGTGGGTCTGGGGGGTCAGTGTCTTCCTAATCCGGAAGCGAACGCAAGCGAGGACATTCGAGTTTTGCATCGTTTGTAACCACTTGACAGCCTCGTAGATTCCCTTTTCTTTTCTTTCCTCTTCATACTTGTTATTCCGTTAGAAAATGCACTTCTTTCATTGAGATAAAACTCGGCGCGTAACAGCTGATACCTAAAAGTTCGATACTACTAGTCCACCTCGTAAACCAGCTTGAACCCGCTGACCTCCTTTCTCCGAATCATCTCCAATCCTTCTAGGATACCAAGAAACCCACCCGGCATGACCTTGACAGGGTGGTTCTTGAGCTTGCCCTCGAGCAGATGCTTCTGGGCGCCGCCGTAGAGCTCGTCAGCAAAGATGCGCGTATCGGGGTCCGTGTCCCGCCCGTAGGGGGCCACCCAGCCACTGCCGCGACCCTTGACGGTGGAGCCCAGGATCCAGTCGGGCTTGACAACCTTGCGAGTGGCCTGCGCCTCGGGGTACGGGTCCAGTGCCGTGTAGCGGCCGCCGGCGCGGCCAATGGCCTCGTAGCACAGCTTCATGGACGAATTGACGGTGATGCAGTCGAGGGTGTAGGCCAGGGAGTTCTTGGTGTAAGACCTGATGTCCTTGGCGCAGTCGGCGGACCGGTAGTCAAACGTCTTCTCGGCGCCGTAGGAGAGGACCAGCTCCTCGTGCGACGGCGAGCAGGTGGCGATGGGCCGGAAGCCCGCCAGCTTGAGCAGCTGCAGGGCCATGGTGCCCGTCGAGGTGCTACCCCCGTTGACGAGGACGTGGGGCGGACTGGCGGCCGAGTTGGGCGCGGTAATTGACCCGGGCACCTTCATGGAGCGAAACAGGGCAAGGCCTGCAGACGACAGCGACGTGCCCATGCAAGCGGCATCGGTGAAGGACATGTCATCCGGCAGACGCAGAGCCTGGGTGGCCACGGTCGAGGCGTACTGGCAGAAGCCGCCGCCGCTAGGTCTCTTACGGTCCATGCTGTCTGCGGTGCCCAGTACCCGGTCCCCCAACTTGAGGTCTTGCCTGGTGACACCGGTGCCAATGGCCACGACGACGCCGGCAAAGTCGAAGCCGAGAATGGCGTCGGGCACAGCGAAGCCCTTGGCCATCTTGGAGTCGACGGGGTTGAGGGCTAGCGCGGCCGTCTTGACAAGCACGGAATCCGGCTCCAGGTCGATTACGGGCACATCCTGCGAGATGCGGAGAGTACCCTCCTCGTCAGCGGCGATGATGGCGGTCTGCCTCTTGGGGATGGAGGCGGCCATGGTGACAGATGGTGGTGGTAACATTGCTGCTGGAAGTATGGGAATATTCTTGTAGTCGTCGTAAACCATTGACAGCATTGAACTCGTACCTAATGTCTTAATAACAACAATATCGACATGTATTTTCACGCGGTAGTTGCCGACTGCAATATCTATTTACACAGGCGCGATCTTGTACAAGTGGCTTGGGGCGGGCTGAGATGGAGAAAAAGGGCAACCTCTTCTCTCTTCTCTCTTCTGGGGATTGGCTTGAGAGGTCAACATCACCGTCCCGTCCGGCCGTCGCACTGTCCCTTTACTCTATCCAAACAACTCCACATTCCTATTATGGCAAGTCAAGAGATGGCCGCACGTGGTGGTAAGGAAAAGGATGAAGCTGTCGTCTCAAAGGAGAAACAAAACGCCAGGGCGGGATATATGGCCAAAAGCGAAATAGTTGTGTGGGGAGGTCGCCGGGACAAGAGTGCGTGTACCTCTACCTTGATGGCGTGTTAATGAGAATCACATTTGGACGTTGCTTGATTAAGACAAGCACCGATGACACGCGGCTGACAATCCATCGGGGCGGGAAAATAGATCCATATTGGGTATTAGGGAAACCCGTGTTGAAGGTGAAGAATAGGTGGGTGGTGGATGGATCGCTGGCACGGAGGCATTTAATTTCCGACGCATGGTTTTACAATTAGCACTTGTAAGCCTCAAAACTCTCATCGGATTTGGCCCCAATAATCCCGTTGTATTTGGCCGCTAGACTGCATTCTCCCCTGTGACCAATTGCTTTGAAGCGTACATACTTATATACGTTATACGTATATACGTGTATGCTCATTATCGCCAGGGATGCTATTATCGACACTTGGCCCGGCAAGGCCCTGCGCTTCTTGGCAGAGGCACGGTTCGGATCTACCCACGATGCTAAATCGTACATCCAGACAGCCGGAGTGTCATGCCAAGGCTTATCTATGTAGATCGCCTGGGCAGGGGTAAGCCCCCACACATGCCGGTCACACACAACCCTATTCGCTCGCCTTTGCCCGTGTCTCGTCGGTCCCACAAGGCGAATGTCAGAGCTAGCAGCCAGGTAATGGTGCGGCCGGGGAAGACAAGCCCAACGCAGCCTTGCCTCGTGGATTCCTCTGCCGCAGGTACTTCACAAGCCAGTTCGAGACCATATCTCACCTGCACGTTATACTGCGAGTCGCTTAACATTGAACATCCGAATTAGGAAGCTTTGAAAGAGACAATATTGAGGGAAGTTCACAAATTAGAACTAATAGATTACTTTTACGAGATCGGTGGGGCGCGGAGGCACAGATATTCGGCTAACTAGATCTGTCGTTACAGGTATCATCTAGTTCCTGGGCCAGTGCTTTCTTCATCGGGATACCACCTCCACAATCAAAGGGGTCCCCACGGAAGGTCAAGGGCTCACATCAAGGCGAGCTCTTGGGGTAAGCCAGCAGAAATTTGCCAAGGCGAGAGCATGGGTTCGCTCAATGGAGACCCGATCTGAAGCCGTCAGGTTCAAATATAAAACCTATCCATCATGGCATCTCAGCTCGTCCGTCAATCTTGGTCGTCAGCGCTTGCGGCTTCAGCCCTTTCCCCTCCATTCAACATTGTCTGGTCTGATACCTGTACCAAGTCTCACCAGGCCTACCAAATCTTATCAAGTCTTTATCAAGTCTTACCGAGTCTATTTGTGCCTTTTGATTCGAGTCTAGCTACTTGAACATCTTTGATTCTATTCAATTCCATTTACCAGACAAGTCAAGTAATATACACACCCCATCTATATCCCTATTGTCCATCGACCCCGTCAAAATGTCTCCTTCACACAACGAGCCCATTGCCATTGTTGGCAACGCCTGTCGATTCCCTGGGGATGCCACATCTCCTTCCAAGCTATGGGAACTGCTCAAGGAGCCCCGTGAGGTGGCCCGGCCCATCGACCGTTTCGCGGCCTCGAGCTTCTACCACCAAAATGGTCACTACCACGGTGCCAGCAACGTCCGCGACGCTTACCTCCTCTCCGAAGACCCCCGCTACTTCGATGCCCAGTTCTTCAGCATTCCCCCTGGTGAGGCCGACTCCATTGACCCCCAGCAGCGCACAGTCCTCGAGACTGTGTACGAAGCCGTCGAATCCGCTGGCCTGCTGCTCGAGGACCTGCGCGGCTCAGACACGGCCGTCTACGTCGGTGTCATGTGTGACGACTACGGCAACATTTGCTACGTCGACCAGGAGGCGATTCCCACCTACGCCGCCACTGGCACGGCCCGTAGCATTCTGTCAAACCGTGTCTCTTTCACCTTCGACTGGCGGGGTCCGTCGATGACTATTGACACGGCCTGCTCGTCGTCCCTGGTCGCTATCCACCAGGCTGTTCAGGTTCTGCGCAGCGGAAACTCCAACGTCGCCGTGGCCGCCGGTGCCAATTTGATTTTCAGCCCGAGTATGTGCCTCCTAACAATCCCCCTTGCTACAAAAATGCTTTATGAACTTTGCTAATCTTCGGATCAAAGACATGTTCGTCGCCGAGTCGAACCTTAACATGCTTTCCCCCACGGGCAAGTCCCAGATGTGGGACGCCAACGCCAACGGCTACGCCCGTGGTGAGGGTATCGCCGCTGTCATAATGAAGCGTCTCTCCGACGCAATCCGCGACGGTGACCACATTGAGTGCGTCATTCGTGAGACGGGCTGCAATCAGGACGGTCACACTCCCGGTATTACCATGCCCAGCCAGGAGGCTCAGACCAAGCTGATTCGCGACACCTACCGTCGTGCCGGCTTGGACCTGAGCAAGCCCGAGGACCGTCCTCAGTACTTTGAGGCTCACGGCACTGGTACCAAGGCTGGTGACGGCGTCGAGTCCAAGGCCATCTACCACGCCTTCTTCCCCGAGGGTCAGACCACTGATGAGAGTCTGTGGGTTGGCTCCATCAAAACCATCATCGGCCACACCGAGGGTACCGCCGGTATCGCCGGTGTCATAAAGGCCTCCCTTGCCATCCAGAACAAGACCATCCCGCCAAACTTGCACCTCAAGACCCTCAACCCGGAGATTGTCCCGTACTACGGCAAGCTGCAAATCGCCAAGACTGCGCAGGACTGGCCCATGCTGCCCGCCGGCGCCGTTCGCCGTGCCTCCATCAACTCCTTCGGTTTCGGTGGCACCAACGCTCACGCAATTATTGAGGCGTATGAGCCCGAGGTCTCTCCCGTGCAGGCTGAGGCTGCGGCCAAGGCTACTATCGCCTTGCCCCTCACTTTTTCCGCCACCTCGGAGAAGTCTCTCACCAACCTCATGGCCAAGTACCTAGAGTACCTGACTGAGAACCCCGATGTCGACCTCATCAGTCTGGCCTTCACCCTGCACGACCGCCGTTCCACCTTTGCGTACCGCAGCCACATTGCTGGTCAGTCGGTGGAGGAAATCTTGCCCAAGCTACAGAACGCTGTTGAGGAGCAGCAATCTGGCAACTTGGCCAGCATCGTCCGCGGTATTTTGGCAAAGAAGAACCTGCTCGGTATCTTCACTGGTCAGGGCGCTCAGTGGGCGACCATGGGTCGTGAGCTGATCCGCGCCTCCAAGATCGCCCAGGACATCATCGGTAAGCTCGAGCAGTCCCTCGCCGAGCTCCCTGCCTCTGACCGCCCGTCCTGGTCTATCATGGAGCAGCTGATGGCTGACCCGGCCCAGTCTCGCATTGCTGAGGGTGAGCTGTCCCAGCCGCTGTGCACTGCCGTTCAGATCGTCCTGGTCGAGGTGCTCAAGCTGGCCGGCATCAATTTCGATGTCGTCGTCGGCCACTCCAGTGGTGAGATTGGTGCCGCGTACGCCGCCGGATTCTTCAACGCCACTGATGCCATCCGCATTGCCTTCTACCGTGGTCGCTACGCCTTCATGGCGAAGGGTCCTGAGGGCCAGAAGGGTGGTATGTTGGCTGTTGGTACCACTCTTGAGGATGCTCGCGAGCTTGTCGAGCTCCCCGCCTTTGAGGGTCGCGTCTCTATCGCCGCATACAATTCCGACGCCAGCATCACCCTCTCCGGTGACCTTGACGTCATTGAGGAGGTCAGGGAGGTCTTGGACGACGAGCGCGTCTTCAACCGTCAGCTCAAGGTTGACACCGCGTACCACTCGCACCACATGATCCCCTGCTCCGCCAAGTACTATGAGGCTCTTGACAACTGCAGGGTTCAGATCCTCAAACCCTCTGGTGAGACCAAGTGGTACTCGTCTGTGTACGACGGCAAGCTCATGGAGCCTTGCGAGGAGCTCAAGCACATTTACTGGGTCGACAACATGGTCAACATTGTCCTGTTTGCTCCGGCCCTCAAGTCTGCTCTCAACAATGCCGTACCTCAGCCCACCCAGGTCATTGAAGTCGGTCCGCACGCCGCCCTCAAGGGTCCTGCCTCTAACGTTATCGAGGAGGTGGTCAAGGCTGCGCTGCCTTACACCGGCACCCTTGCTCGTGGTCAGAACGACGTCAATGCCGTGGCCTCCACCCTCGGTTACCTCTGGGCTCAGTTTGGCCGCAGCTCCGCCGACTGGAAGGGTTACTCGCAGGTCTTCTCCTCGAGCATTCCTACCATTCTCCAGGAGCTGCCTAGCTACCCCTGGAACTACGACCGTCTTTTCTGGTACGAGGCTCGCAAGTCGCGTGTCAACCGCCTTCGTCAAGACCCCGCTCACGTCCTGCTCGGTACACGCACCGACTCCGTCAACGAGCGCGAGTACCGCTGGCGCAACTACATCAGCTCTAAGGAGATCCCCTGGCTCTCCGGCCATAGCATTCAGGGCCAGACCTTGTTCCCTGCTGCTGGTTTCCTCGTGATGGCTGTTGAGGCTGCTCGCGTCGTCGGCCGTGACCAGGCCATCCACGCCATTGAGCTGCAGAACTCCCAGATCCACCGCGCCCTGGCTATCAATGAGGACAAGGGTATCGAGACACTCTTCACCCTGTCTAATGTCAATTGTGTCCAAATGGGTGCAGGCACCTCTACTGTCACTGCCAACTTCGCTTGTGATGCCTGCCTCCAGAAGGGTTCTGATGTCTTCACCTCCATCGCCAGCGGTAAGCTTATCATGAGCCTCGGCACTCCCTCTTCCTCGGTCCTGGTCGAATACCCCAAGGAGACTGGCCTCGGCATGCTGGACGTCGACTGTGAGGAGTTCTACGCCTACCTCGCTTCCATCGGCTACAACTACGCCGACCTCTTCAGGGGTATCACCTCCATGAGCCGATGCTGCGACTTGGCTCAGGGTGAGATCATCACCTCTACTGCCAGCCAGAGCGGCCCCATGAACGAGTTCCTATTGCACCCGGCCACTCTTGACGTTGCCTTCCAGGCCATCTTTGCCGCCATCAGCTACCCCGGAGACGGTGCACTGTGGGCTCTGCACATCCCCACCACTATCCGCCGCGTCGTCATCAACCCTGTCATCTGTCCGATGAACGGTGGTCTTGACGAGAAGGTCCGCTTCTCGGCTACTTCCAACCGCGCTGATGACGGTACGTTCTCCGGTAGCGTTGACATCTTTCCTGTCCACAGCGACTACTCGCTGTGCCAGGTTGAGGGAATGGGGGTCAGCCCCGTGGCTCCCCCTACGGCCAAGGATGACCGCCACATGTTTGGCCACACCAGCCGCTGGCTCAGCACTCCTGACGCCGAGGCCGTGGCCAAGCCTGTCTCAATCACCACCGAGCAGGAGAAGGATCACCAGCTTCTCGACCGTCTCGCGCTTCAGGAGCTCCGGAAGATGGTTGTCTCTGGTAAATCCGAGCACGCCCATCTGCGCACCTGGGCCCAGGGTGTCCTCAAGGTTGATGGTACCGACGCCTCCACTGAGCATAATGACAGCTCTAGCGTCACTGTTGGCGAGGCTTTCGCTGCCGATCTTGCTGTCCTGAAGGCTCTTGGCTCTGGCGAGCCCGGCTTGCTGAACAAGTTCTACTCCTCGGCGTTCGGTGCTACTGAGGCTCGCAGCTCCTTGATCTCGCTGGTTCACCAGATCTCCCGCCGCTATCCTCACATGCGTATCATGGAGCTCAGTGCTGGCAACGGTGCCGCTACCAAGCCTCTCCTGGAGACTCTCGGTGCCTTGTGCTCCGCCTATACCGTCACTGACTCGACTGACGAGCACTTTGCGGCCCTGAACAAGGAGCACGGTGATGACCTCTTCACCCAGACCCTCGACTTGGGCCAGGGCCTCGAGGAGCAGGGATTCTCCGCCGCCAGCTTTGATCTTATCATTGCCCCCGCCGGCCTCCACAATGTACAGGACCGTGCTCAAACCATCCAGAAGCTGCGCTGGCTTACCAGGCCTGGTGGTTTCCTCTTTTTCCAGCAGATCACCAACGCCAGTGCTGCCCACGTCGGCCTGACCGTGGCCAGCTTGGCGTCGCAGACTGAGGTTCCCGAGCTGTCTGAATACGATGCTCTGCTTCAGGACGCTGGCTTCTCCGGCATTGACTCTGTCACTCCGGACTCTGTCAGCCCCTTCAGCGTCTTCGTGTCTCAGGCCGTCGACGCTCAAATCAACGCCATCCGTGCTCCTCTATTTGCCGGTAACAAGACCACCATTGACCATATTCTCCTCATCGGTGGTCGCCGCTTCCAGACCTCTCGCCTGATCGAAAACATCAAGAACACCCTCGCCCCATACTGCGGCAACATCATGTCGATCCAGAGCATGCGCGAGTTCAAGTCGTCCCTGCTGGCGCCTAGGCCTCTCGTGCTTTCGCTCACTGAGCTCGACGAGCCCTTCTTCCAGGACCTGACCGACCAGAAGTACAAGGCCCTGCAGACTCTGTTCTTCCGCTCGCATTACATTGTCTGGGTCACTCGCGGTGCAAACGGCGACAACCCTTACGCCAACGTTATGAAGGGTGTCGTCCGCTGCTTACTGATCGAGATTCCTCACCTTCACTGCCAGATGTTCAACATCGAGGGCAAGGGCAAGATCAACCAGCACGCCACCGTCCTGGCGGAGCAGCTGCTGCGCCTGCACATTGCCGACGGTTGGAAGGACAAGATCCCCACGTACAGCGCTTTGTGGACCTCGGAGCGCGAGCTGATGCTTGCCGATGACAAGCTCCACATTACTCGCTACGACTCCGAGGCTGAGCTCAATGACCACTACAACGTCTTGCGCCGTCGTGTCGTGGCTGAAGTCTCCACCGCTGACCGCGTGGTTGCCATGACCGCCGACAAGATGCTCTAGCAGTTCTGCCTCAACCCCCAGGCTCCCATTGGTACCGAGGAGGCCAAGGTCACCGTCAACGTCGAGAAGTCCCTATCCACCGCCTTCAAGGTTGGCGACCTCGGCTACTTCTACCTCAGCATCGGCTCCAACAAGGAAACTGGCGAGACTGTCCTCGCGCTGACTGACCAGCACCAGTCTCTTCTCACCGTTTCTGAGTCCCGCCTCCTGACTGTCAATGTCGCTGCCAGTGAGCGTTGCACCCTGCTCGTTTCTGTCGGTGCCACACTCCTTGCCTCGGCTCTCCTCGAGAAGTCCACTGCCAGCGACAGACTCGTCTTCCACGAGGCGCCCACCGTTCTGGCCGAGCTTCTCCGCGAGAAGGCCCGCAAGACCGGCGCCCAGGTCGTCTTCACTACCACCGACAAGGAAACCACTGGTTTCTGGCAATACGTCCACACTTACACTCCCGGTCGCGAGCTGAGCAGGCTGGTGCAGGCCAACACGAGCCTTTTTGTCAACTTCTCTCCCGCCAGCGAGGGTAGGGGGGTTGTCAACCGCCTTAAGGCCCAGCTGCCGTTCCGCGCTCGCTGTCGCACTCTTTCAGACTACCTCCCTTCGCAGTCCGTCCTTTACTCGGACACGACCGAGGCTCAACTCGCCAAGGCCCTCAAGGACGCCTATGACAAGGCTGTATCTGAGGCCTCGCCGGTTGCCTTTGACCAGGTTGCCAATATCTTTTTGCAGCAGCTTGCCACTGACCAGACTCTCAGTAAGCCCCTGACCACCATAGACTGGACTGACCCTACTCCTTTCCCTGCCAACTTGACCCTCGCTATGGACGAAGTGCGCTTCCGCTCTGACCGCACCTACTTCCTCGTCGGTATGACTGGCAGCTTGGGTTTGTCCACCTGCGAGTTCATGATGGAGCGCGGCGCCAGGCACTTTGCCCTGTCCTCCCGTCGCCCTAACATCGACCAGCGCTGGCTGGAAAAGGTCGAGACCAACTTTGGCGCCTCGGTCAAGGCGTACCCGCTTAACATCACCAATCGCGAGAGCCTGCAGGGCGTGTACAAGGAGATCTGTGCGACCCAGCCCCCGATCGCGGGTGTGGCCAACGCCGCCCTCATCATGCGCGATAGTCTCTTCATGGAGTCCAACGCGACCACCATGAACGAGGCTCTGGGCCCCAAGATCGACGGTACCATCTACCTGGACGAACTGTTTGCCAACGTCGATCTCGGCTTTTTCATCCTCTTCTCCTCACTGGTGTACATCACTGGCAATATTGGTCAGACCTCCTACGCTGCCGGCAACGGCTTCATGGTAAGCTTGGCCCACCAGCGTCGCCAGCGCGGCCAGTGCGCCAGTGTCATGAACCTGGGTGGTATAAACGGTATCGGCTACATCACCCGTACCGACCACAACATTCTCAACCGTCTCGACATCATGGGCTACGGTATCATGTCCGAGCTCGACTACAAGTACTTCTTTGCCGAGGCGGTCATGGCAGGTCCTCCCGACTCCGGCCGCGACCCCGAGGTCTCTGCTGGTCTCAAGTTCGTCAACCCCAAGACCGACAAGAACCCGCCCAAGTGGTGGGAGGACCCCAAGTTCAGCCACTACGTCATTGACAAGAGCGCTCGCGAGGGTGGTGAGGTGGGCGCTGAGGGTGCCCTGTCCACAAAGGCCCAGCTGCAGGAGGCTGCTACCGAAAAGGACGCCTTCAACATCATCATGACGGCCCTACAGGCCATGCTTCACAAGAAGCTCGACCTGCCACCCTCGGAGAGCGTCCTGTCCGATGTCGCCATTGTCGAGATGGGTGTCGACTCTCTCGTCGCCGTCGACATGCGCTCTTGGTTCAGTAGCGAGTTTGATCAAGACATCCCCATCATCAAGATTTTGGGTGGTGCCACTCTTGCTGACCTAGTCGAGGACACTGTTGTCAACCTGTTACCGTCCATTGCCCCCAACTTGAGCGGCGCCGCCGCTGCCGAGGAGGAGCGCAAGGCAGAGACCGAGACACCTGCTGAGGCTGCTACCGCTGCTCCCTCTGACGTTGAGCCTATCTTTTCTGATGATGACAGCCCTGCCACCACCGACATTGACGATGGCTCTGTGACTAGCAGGTCTACCGCCGACGAGAAGGTCGAGTCTGACGCTGGCCCTGCTGCGCCGGCTGTCGTTCGTCCCGACTTTATCCGCGTCGAGAAGATGACCCACGGCTGCTCTCGCTTCTGCTTCCTCCGCCAGTACCTCGAGGATGCCAGCTGCTTCAACATCATTGTCCGCACGCGTCTTACCGGTCAGGTTGATGTGGCTCGTGTCCAGGAAGCCGTCTGCAAGGTCGGTGCCCGTCACGAGGCCCTGCGTACCGCCTACTACGTGGACGAGGAGGGCGAGCCCATGATGGGTGTCATGCCCAACTCCAAGCTCCGGCTCGAGGTCAGCAAGATTACCCACGAAAGCGAGGCCGAGAAGGCTCACAAGGAGGTGTCCAAGTACAACTTCGACATCGAGAACGGTGAGGTCATCCGCATACAGCTGCTGACTGTCGGCCCCCACGAGCACCACCTCATCTTCGCCGTCCACCACATTGCCATTGACGGCTTCTCCTTCAACCTTATGATCCGCGACATGGACATGTTCTACCAGGGCAAGCCCGTGCCCCAGATTGCCACGCAGTTCACGGACCTGGCCATCCAGCAGCGCAAGGACATTGAGAGCGGTCGCCTGCAGGACGACATTGTCTTTTGGAAGAAGAACTACACCACGCTGCCCGACCCTCTGCCTCTCTTCCCCTTCCCTGGCGTCGGCGCCCGTCTCCCGCAGACCAAGTACGAGCATGAGGAGGTCGAGATGGTGCTCGACTCGGCGATTGCGCAGAAGATCCGCACCCTCTGCCGCCAGAACCGCTGCACCACGTTCCACTTCTTCCTCGCTACCTTCCGCCTCTTCCTCACCCGCTGGCTCGAGATTGACGACCTGTGCATTGGTATCGCCGATGCCAACCGCAAGGACATCAAGACCCTGGCCACCGTCGGTTTCCTGCTGAACCTGATCCCTCTCCGCTTCGGCGGCCTCACAGGGAAGGAGACCTTCTCCACCCTCCTCAACGCCGCCAAGCAGGCCTCATACTCTGCCCTCAACCACTCTGCCCTGCCCTTTGACCTGCTGCTGCAGGAGCTCGAGGTACCTCGCTCCTCCTCCCACAGCCCCCTGTTCCAGGCTTTCCTCGACTACCGTCAGCTCTCCCTGAAAACGCCTCCCATGCTCGAGTCCCAGACCGAGGGTGAGAGCGACTTCGGTGCCACCGCCTACGACGTCGTTCTCGACGTCACTGACGAAGCCGCCTCGGACATCACCATCAAGTGGCAGACACAGAAGTCACTGTACAACGGCCGCCACACCCAGGCCATGATGGACAGCTACATGCACCTGCTGTACCACTATTCCAAGGGTCCTGCCGGCTCCATCGCATCCGCTCCCCTCTACCGGGACGAATATGTCACGGCTGCCATTGAGGCTGGACGTGGTAAGTATCAGATGAACTGTCCCCTACACCTACTATTACTGAGCCCCGATTAACTGTCTTGTCTTTTTCTGTGTAGGTCCCCAGTTTGACAGCCAGTGGCCCGAGACCCTGTCCCTCAAGGTCGACCAAGTCTCTGCCCAGTTCCCCAACGACATTGCTCTGCGCGACGGCCTCGGCGACTCCATGACTTACAAAGCCATGGACCGCACCCTCGACCAGATCTCCGAGGAGCTCGTCCAGGCTAACATCCAACCCGGTGACAAGGTCGGTGTGTTCCAGCAGCCCTCGGCCATGTGGATCTGCTCCTTGCTCGCCATCTGGCGCAGCGGTGCCGTCTACGTGCCTCTTGATCCCCGCAACGGCCTGCCCCGTCTGGCGGCCACTTGCAGTGTTGTCGAGCCCAGCTCCGTGCTCTGCGACAGTTCCACTGCCGCCGATGTCGCCCAGCTCGCTCTCCCTGCCGACGCCAGCACCATCAATGTTGACCGGGTCCGCAAGGCCAACGACTCTCCCGCTCGCCGTCCCAACTTGTCCAAGGGTGATTCGTCTGCCATCATCGTCTCCAGCAGTGGTTCCACCGGTGTCCCCAAGGGTATCGAGGTCCGCCACCTGAGCTTGCTCAACCTCTTCGAGGGTGACAGCCTGACCTGGAACCTCGGCCGCCCCATCGTCGTTCAGCAGAGCGCCTATAGCTTCGACATCTCTCTTGACCAGATCTTCACCTCTCTCGTCAACGGTGGCAACCTCTACGTCGCTTCCCAGGCCCAGCGCTCCGACCCCCAGGCCATGGCTGAGCTCATCGCCAATAACAAGATTACCTACACCATGGCCACCCCGTCCGAGTATTCTAACTGGATCAACTACGCCGCTCCCACTCTGTCCAAGACCACGAGCTGGCGCCGCGCCAATATTGGTGGTGAGGGCTGGAACGCCACCCTGCGTGACTCCTTTGCCGCCCTCAACCTGCCCAACCTCAAGATCCAGAACTGCTACGGTCCCGCCGAGAACAGCATATGGTGCACTCGTCAACCCATTGCCTACCCTGCCGAGTCTACTCTCATCCCTGCCGGTCCTGCTCTTCCCAACTACTCCTTCTACATTGTGGACAAGCAGCTCAATGTTGTTCCAACCGGAGTCCAGGGTGAGATCCTCATTGGGGGTGCCGGTACCGCCGTCGGCTACTACAAGCGCACCGACCTGACCAACGAGAAGTTCATCGAGGACAAGAACGCCTCCTCTGTTCACGTTGCCAAGGGCTGGAACCGCGCCTACCGCACCGGCGACAAGGGTTACCTCATGATCGACGGCACCCTCGTTGTCCTGGGCCGCATCACTGGCGACACCCAGATCAAGCTTCGCGGTTTCCGTATCGAGCTTGAGGACATCGAGGCCACCATTGTCCGCGCCTCCAACGGCGTTCTATCTCGCGTCGTTGCCAACTTGCGCCGCGAGGGTCAGGAGAGCTACCTGGTCGGCTTCGTCGAGTTTGCTGACGGCTACTTGACCGACCAGCAGAAGACCTACCTCGCCCAACTGCTTAACAAGGTGCCCTTGCCCCAGTACATGAAGCCCAACATGCTCGTCGCACTTGACCGCATCCCCCTGAACTCCCACGGAAAGGTCAACAGGCTGGCCATTGCCACCATCCCTGTCAAATCCCAGCTCGATGATGCCGAGATCTCTATCGAGGTCACCGATACTGAGAAGGCGATCTGGGAGCTCTGGCAGGAGATCCTGCCCCAGTCTTTTATGGATGGTGTGGTCATCAACTTGAACCACGACTTCTTTCAGCTCGGAGGTAACTCCTTGCTTACTGTCCGCCTCCAGTCTCGCATCCGCGAGGCTTTTGGCATCGTCGTTCCTCTCTTCAAGATCATCGAGTCCAGCAAGCTCTCTGCTTTGGGGGCCCTCCTCGATAACCTCTTGGCCAAGTCTGGCATCAACTGGGACCTCGAGACTGCCCTCATAGATGACATGCTCCAGATCTCTCCCGCTGACGCCTTCTCCACCACCCGCAAGAACGCCCAGCCCCTGACTGTCATCCTCACCGGTGCCTCTGGTTTCATTGGTCGTCATATCTTGGAGCGCCTCATCCAGGACCCCAAGATCGGCAGCGTCCACTGCATTTCCCACCGTCCTCTGTCTAACGAGCTGCCCCACCGCCAGAAGTTCAACGCCGTCGTCGCCTCCTCTTCCAAGATCTTCGTACACGAGGGTGATCTGAACGCTCCTCGCCTCGGCCTGTCCGAGACCGAGTTCGCCACTCTCTCCCAGCAGGCCGACATGATCATCCACAGCGGTGCCAACCGGTCTTTCTTCAGCACCTACGATCAAGTCCGGGCCATCAACGTCCAGTCCACCAAGGAGCTCGCTCTCATGTCTGCCGCTTCTCTGCGTGACCACCGCCGCGTCGTTCCCTTCCACTTCCTCTCTGGCACTGAGGCCGCCACCATCGAGCCTGCTTCGGACGGCTCTCAGGGCTACGTCGCCTCCAAGTGGGCCAGCGAGCGCTTCCTCGAGAAATACGCCGATCGGCTGCGCCTCCCCGTCCACATCCACCGCCAACTTCCCGTGCCCGAGGGTCGTGAGGCCCAGGGCGAAGAGCTCGACCAGATCCTCCAGGAGTTCGTCGATGTCGCCGCCAAGATGACCGAGCTACCCAACTCGACCACCTGGGGCGGTCACTACGACCTGATCCCTGCCGACCGTCTGTCTTGCGACATTGTCGGCCACGCCTTCACGGCCCTAGCCTCGACCGACAACCAGATCTCCAGCGACAACGTCAAGCAGTACTTGCACCTGAGCTCCGTCCGCATGGACATTGCCAAGGTTGTCGAGAAGCTGGGCTCGCTGCCTGAGTACGCCCAGAGCGGCCGGCCCAAGATCCCGGCCCACGTCTGGGTCGGCAAGGCCAAGACTGCCGGCTTCCGCTACCAGTTCAGCACCATGAACATGGTCCTGCAGGATGCCGAGGGCAAGGGCCTCGCTACGCTGTCGCGGTAGAGTGTTGACCATTCTATCTGGCGTATTTGTTCTTGTATATAGCTTCATTCATCATTCTCCCTGTTTTTTTCCTATGCCTAAAATCCTCATGTTTACGTTAGCTTTTGCTTTGGCGTTATAAAAGACTTGGTACAAAACTTTTCCTCTCTTCTGCAGTGAATGCCTTAAAATGTAATGTCTCGTAAGTTCTACATTGCTTTCAAGTTTGACTTTGCTTTCAAGCACAATGTGTTTAATATGATCTGAGAAGCTGGAGATATCGAATTATCCAATCCTTTGGCTGCGTGACGGCAAAGACTTTAAACATCTATTCCAAATTGTCTCCTAGCTTCACTACAACAACGTCTTGGCCACAGTGAGTATCGTTCATCATCCCAATTCTGCTTTTTTCGTAAGTAATGAAGGCTGCTCTTAGGTAAGAGTGGGTGTAAAGCTATCTCGTCTTTGTCTGGCAAAGTCAAGCCACTATAAATTGGCTACTACAGTTCGCGATATTTGCATTGCACAGGATCCGTTGAACGTTTCCAGTGGTCGGAAATGTTTCAACTTAGGCCGTGATCCATTTATGTTGCAGGACATGTACAAACGCTTTACTGGTGTCATATGTTCTGAGCTGTCCCTTGTCTAGCAACTTGTGATCACTGAAACATACGCGCTACTTTTGACAGACAGAAAACGCGCAGGGACATGTATTCAAAATATTCCAATGTGAGTTTAGCAAGGGACCCATGTAGGCAAAAATACCTTCGTAAATTTTATGTAACAACGGTATCGTCAAGACAAATGAAAAGATCTATGTACATCGCCTCAAGGCTAGTTTACTGTGCCCTTTGATGTAGTCACCCAGTCGGATAATCGCCAATACGTATACACCGGGTTTCTATATCTAACACAGGTAGTCGTAGACGAGCCTGGCCTCAAGCCTCTCGCCGCCGTCCTTGGTGACCAGGACCCGCCTGGCGTGGTACCGAGTGCCGTCGAGGACAATGAAGCCGGCGACCTGCTGGGTGACGACACCCTTGGAGTCGAGGTGTTCGGTCTTGAAGTGCATGACCTCCTCGGTGCCGTCCTCCCAACCCTGGCGGAGGTAGTCGTCGTCGAGGTCGGCGAGCTTGCAGATGCGGGAGCGACCGCGGATGTTGCCGAAGAGGCCGTGGTTGAGCTCGACGGGCTTCCAGTTGAGGACACGCTTCTCCTGTGTGGCGGGGAGGCCGCCGCTAGGCTTGTTCTCGATGTCAAGCAGGATGTTGCCGTTCTCGTCCTTGCGCTGGTTGATGATGAGGGTGACGTTGGCCATGGCAATTACCTTGCGGGTCAGCCAGTTGACACCCTGGACCTTGAGGATCTCGGCGGAGGTCTCCTCGGACAGGGTATTGTTCTGTAGGTATTGTTAGCATACAGGACTTGTGTGACACAGACGTGGGAGAATTTGTGTTTCTTACAGCAGCCCAAGAGCCGTTAAGGTCCTGGACGGTCTTGGAAGCGGGAGCAGCCATTGTGTCGACGTGTGAGTGGTCTTGCGGTATATGGTTAGGCAAGAGTGGTGAAGATAGAATCGAGGTTTGGTGTTTTGATGAGTGGGAGTTGATTGATTGATTGATTGATTGATTGATTGATTGAATGTCTTGTCTTCTCTGTGGGTTTCTGAAGCTTCCAACACGTTGCTCATATACATTCCGTTGTTCATAGATGACACGCCTTGTTCTGTCGGCACTTGGTACGAAACATCCCACTTAGAGTATTCAGTTGCAAATGGAGTAGCATGCCGCTTTCTAGTGGGCGTCAGTCAGCCAATGCCAAACACCACTGGAGTAATGAATCCCCGTTTGCCACGTCGGGCATAGAAAGCCGGCCATTTGGGGGCCCGATGACAGGGACCAAGGGAATCCGCCAAAAAGGTGTACAGGTAGGGCGGCATGACTGCAAGTATGCGGTAATGGTGGATACATGTTTTTGTGTCAAGTCAAAGCCGCAGTGCCAAGAGTTGCCTCAATCAGGAGCAATGCCCGGGGCTGCCACAATGACGCTGGTAAAAGGACAAAGACACAAAAGGTACGTAGGCACAGTTTCAAACGGAGAGCCACTTGCACCCTGCTAACTCAAACAGGAGGGGGAGACCACCCCACGATCATGTCCCAAAGGGGTATGCAGGATGTTCGGTTCACGGCACCATCAGATGCATTGCCAGTGTACGCTCCGCCTTTTTCTCCATCTTGAAACCACGATCCCAAGGGATCATTTATTTTTGTCTTCTTTCTTAGATCTGATTTTCCCTCTCTTGGCCATCATCAACAAGTCTCTTTATCTCTATTTCGTCTTTGAACTTCCGCGGTCCCCTGGTCACAACCCCCCTGCGAGACTAAACCCGCATCGCTAGCAGCAACTGTATCCTCTAGGATTGGGGTCCACTGCAAGCCATGCCCAGAGTCCCAGACGTGCTACGGGACGCCTTTACGATCTGACGCCAGGGTCAATCGAGTACTGACTGGTGTGACGCGAATCTCCAACATCATGTACGGGCAGTCCGAGAAGCTGCCCATGCATGGGCAGGACCACATGCACTCACAATCACAATACGATCAAATCCAGTACGGCCACTCTCAACCTGGACGTCCTCAGTACGGGGCCCCTCCAATGACACAACCTCATTACGGACAGCCACAATATGGCCAACCCCAATATGGCCAACCTCAGTATGGCCAGCCTCAAAATAGACAAACACCTTACGGACAGCTTCAGCCCGGTCCCAATCCCATGTTTGGAGGGCAACCCACCCCAGACCCTAGGTACGACTCACAAGCTGGGATGACCACCATGGGAGGGCCGCTGCCTCTGCCCATCGTGATTCCGCAGCAGCGCCCAGGGTCTCAGGAGCGAGGCTTCATGGCCGCCTATGCGCCATCTCTGGAGTTGTGCGGCATCGACCAAAGGTCGTTCCTGCGCTTCATCGAGGAGACTAACAAGGGCTTGGAGGGCAACAAGTACCTCGCCGGCGTGCAAGTTGTCTCTCTTGGCGTGAGCTTCACTCCCGAGGTCATCGTCATGGGCGTTGCTGCGGCGGTGCAAGCGGGCGCCTGGGTGGCCAACAAGGGCTACGTCAGAGGAAAGTAAGTGCAACAAAAGGACTCTCCTCTCAAGCCACGATGCTGATCAGCCCCTCCGCTTAGGACCAACAACGTCATGGACAAGTACAATAGCGAGCTTTTCGCACCCCACGGTCTGTTCTGTATGATTATGAAATATGAGCCTGAGCTCAAGGAGCCCAAGAATCCCAGCCGTCTCAAGCAGCTTGCCTCACTGGCTGTCAACGGCTCGAGCAATGGTGGCGGCAGTGCATGGATGCGTAACCACGTTTCCGGCGAGTCGCAGGGACCTGGCGGTCTGCCTACGGCCGTGGCACCGCTTGTCTACATGGACAACCACCGCCAACAAAAGGAGTACCTGTCCGATTCTCCGCCTGAGTCACCAGGCTCCAAGAGAGGCGTCGTCCCCGCCGGAGGCAAGACTTCGACCAAGGACAAGGCCAAGAAGGCCTTTGACAACTTCAACGACTACCTCGACCGTCGCGCTCGCGCAAAGTACATCGCCGAGAACGGCAACGACGTGATTAGCGGGCCGGCTGGTCGTGGCTTCAGCAACCGATACCTTGACCCCAATCATCCGGCCGTCAATGGAGGTCTCATCGGTGTGCTTTCCGGTGGTGTGTTGAGTCCTACTCCGGAGCAGCGTGCACAGAAGAAGGCCAGCAGAATTGATGACGAGGAGAGGAGAGTTCTTGACGAGTACAACGACCGGAGGGAGCGCATCTTGAACGACCGACGCAGTCAATCCGAGACAGATCGGGAGTTGAGGCGGTTGGAGAAGGACTACGAGCCTCGTCTGGAGCAGTTCCGCAACAAGAGAAGGGCACTGGAAGGCGGTAAAAGAACCATCAAGAGTGTAAGTCTAACTCATGTTTTATCCTTCCTGCTGACTTGGTGGTGTTGTTTTTTTTTTTTTTTTTTTTTTACTGACCATGGCCTTTTGCAGAACATTTTGTACCTGACGATTGTCAACCTTCCTTTGGAGGCCACTCTTGCTGCCGCTTCGTCGGAGCTGGAGCAGGAATATGGTCACAGTGTCATGACGGAGACGATGCCACCTCCAGCGTACTAAACTTTCATTCATTATACATTCACATGTCTTTCTGGCAGTTTACGTAGAATAGCGGATGTTATGCGGAGAATTTCTTGATTTTTTGCATCAATCTGAATGTTTAGTGATCTTGTGTGATAGACTAAATACCCAAATCAGACAAAAATGGAGCCTCAATGCCACGTGCTCTTGATGATGCAAGACAACGCTAATTACCCGTGCTATACCCGGATACTGAGGTTGGTATCGAGAGGTATGTGTTATCACTTGACGTTTTCATTCGCTATATATACGCGGTTTTCAGTATATACAAACAGAGCAACCATAAAATACATCATTAGCATAGACAACGCTCTTGGGGATGATGATCAAAACGCCCAGATAATCTATCCATTCCAGAGTACCCGCCATACACTCTGTACTGACCAACTATTACAAATTGGCAGCAGATCCAAAAAACAAAAAAAGAAACAAACATTAATAGAATGTGTGAGGGTTTTAAAAGCTGAAAAGGGTATGTCGTATACTTGTCGAAGAGAAAGTCCTGCTTTTTTCTTACCGGCTAGCCTCGTGGAGGCGCACCGTGACCGTGTCGCCAGGAGCGCTCACCAGGGCCAAGCCCCACCTAATCCTCTGGTCGGCGTGGACGTCCTCGAGTCCGTCGAATCGCTGGAGCATACGGACAAGGACGTAGCCAGCTTCGGTGAGGGCGAACTGCTGGCCAATGCAGATGCGCGGCCCACCATTGAAGGGGAGGTACTCCCAGCCGAAGCGGCGGGCCTCCCAGCGCTCGGGCTTGAAATCACCCGAGTCTTTGCCCCAGACGTCCTCGCGGCGGTGCAACATGTGCACGTTGTACAGGACGGCCTGGCCCTTCTTGATGTACACGGGGCTCTGGCCGTCGGGGCCGCCGCCACGGGGCAGGCTGGTATCCTTGGTGGCGTAGCGGGCGTTGGTGGGCAAAGGCGGGAACAGGCGGAGCGTCTCGTTCATGACCTGCTGCAGGTACGTGCAGGCCTTGAGGGTGGCAAAGGTGATGTTTTGGGGGTCCTCGTAGGTGCCGAAGTCGGCGATGATGGCCTCGCGCAGCTTGCGGAAGACCTCTGGGTGGCGGGAGAGCAGTAAGGTGGTCCAGCTTAGTAGCGCGGCGGTGGTATCGCGGCCGGCGAGCAGGACGTTGAGCAGCTGGGAGCGCAGCTCGATCGGGTCCTTGGTGGTCTCGGCCATGGCGTGGACAAAGATGTAATGCTCCGACGCGCCCTCCTCGGGCTGCTTCTTCTTCTTCTTATAGTCGTGCAGGGCCTTGGCGACGCACTCGTCGACGAAGCGGTGGACCTCCTGACAGCAGTTTCGGAACTCCTTGCAGTCGTACATGAACTTCAAGCGAGGCAGACGTAGGCGCTGCGCCATGTACCACTGGGCGCGGTCAAATTTCTTGCCAAAGTCGGTCACCTTGCCGCCACTGGCCATGCAGTCCTCGGCGTCGCCCGTGGCGGCCAGCTGAGAGTAGCAGCTCTCGCCGAAGAGCAGCTCGGTCGCGGAGTCGAGGGTCAGGCTGAAGTAGATGCTTTGAATGTTGACCTCGGTCCAGCCGTTGCTTCCGGCGGCGGGTATGGCGCGCATGGCGTTTTGGACGTGGTGCTCTTCGAGACGCAGGTCGCTGATCTGGTCACGGGTGAACTGGGGCCGGAGCATCGTACGCGAGTGCGACCACTCGGCGCCGTCGTTGATGAACTGCACACTGATTGTCAGCTTGGGTCAGATCTACATGCACGCAAAAGCACGAGGAAAAATTAGAACATACGATTCCCTTGCCCAACAACGGACCCATGCATCCTAGTCTCTCACCACCAACGGAAAAGTCCTTGAACTGCTTGGCCAACATGGCCTGGAGGTTCTCGGGGTCAAAGGTGAGCATGTTCTCCCCCAGACCTCTCTTGAGACGGAAGGTCGAAACGTAGCGTCCGGCATTGTCGCGCATGATATTGGTGCGGCTCTCGAGCAGCTCTGGCACCACCTTGTTCTTGTCCGCCTGGATGATCTCCAGAATATCGCCGATAGCGAGGGGGTCCTTGGACGGTGCCATGGGCGCTGGCTGGCAACCCAGGCGCTTGGCATTTTGACTGTGCCTCCATTTCTCGCTCACGATGCGCGCGATGAAAGCAAGGCCGACGAGGACCAGGAGGAGTGTTAAAAGTCCCATGGTGGTCGAAGGACTTGGGATTAGAAGGGTGGGGGTTATGGTCTGAACGAACGTATGCCTGTGTCAAATAGTCATCTGGGCATCCAACATCAACGACAAGTCCCTCCCGACAGCAGCGCCCATATATAGATATATCCCCTTTTCCCTTTCATGCTTCATGGTCACTTAGTTTGGTCATTCTTAGTGAATCCCGCAGGAGTCGATATTCCACCCGGTACTCCATAGTCAGCAGTGCTTATACTGTACGGATCTACTGTGCTAGATCCTTCCGGAGGCGTGGCAGATCGGAGTGGAATTCCGGCATATGTTACCCAATTGGGAAAACGTTGGTAGCTGACGCTTGGATCCCACACGCTTTTCGCCTTGCGCAGCCCGACACAAACAGGGCTGCCCTGCCTTGTCCTTCATGTTTCTTGTTCGTTTGTTAGTAGTTGACATCGTGGCTTTCCATATTCTCCACTTCAACCTTTTCACACGAACTGGCCGAGTCTATTCATCGTCAATTTCTTTACCCATGGGTTTTTGGTGGGTATATGCATAAATCGTGGATAAGCCTGATTAGTCACCTGGCGTAATTTCGGTAATTATTCCAGGTCTGGATCACGTGCATGCATACTAGTATCTAACAACAACATACAATCAACTCGCATCAATAATTTGAACACATACACTTCACTTACAGTTCCTCCGCAAAAGTCTCCGTATGGAGATATATATTTAATGGGTGTGGGTCGTACGGAACATTTTGCGGTAGAACTGTATCAATCAACAGAAAATGAAAACTCAACCCAAACCCGCGTTTGGCGAGGTCTAAACAACAGTCTCCCTCCAAATCAGCGCATTTTTCCTAATACCTAGGCATCCCCCACCCCAAATATACAGCAAAAAAAATATATTTCACCTGGTTAGAGATGTTCTGGGCAAGCCACGTCGTCCCTGCTTGTCACCTGGCCAGCGGCTTGAACCTGTTGAAAGGTTCAAGGTATTTTGATATCTCTCTACTGTATCTTTGGTGGTGTTATATACCTGTAACTACATCTTCTTACTGAAAGCTCCTGAGTTTACTATACTAAGTCTCCCTTTGTCACTCCCGGAGTTGCTTCCATGAACCTGTCTCAAGGCCTGTACTGGTGGGTCACTATCACGACCACTATACTGTATGCATTTTGGGATAAATTTTCTATTGACTCCCTATTCTCTTAGGAGTGAAGGCTCCCCATTGGAACATTGGTCTAAAGTCTACCGAAAAATGGTCATTCTGTCTGCTCGCGCCAGATAAATCAGCTTCAAGACAACATAAGCCATACCATTCAATACTGTCGTTGACAGCTCGAATCTTAACATCTTTCTTCCATTCTCTGTTTCAAGAGGCGGGCATCAGTGTTTTCTCATCGCGCAAAGCACATTCCTCTCGTTGCCTACTTTGCGCCGCAAGCTTTTTGACGCCCTGACCCCGTATCCCATAAGTGAACAAAAAGAGCGATAAAGCAGACATCATGTTCCAACGGTAATAACGACACGAATCTGCATCACAATATTGTCGACAAACGACAGTAAATAGAAAGAAAGATGCAAAAATACAAAGCGTGAACCTCCATGGCGCGGGTTAGCAGCTAGCACCTGAGAGTTAGAAAAGGTGTCCTACAAGATTGGATGTTTATAGAACCCAAGGGGTTCCAATATACGCCCCAAAGGGTGGTCTGATGTGTGCTTTTTCTGAGCCAATCCGGGGGAGGGACTAGAAGGGATTTTCGCTTCCATGATGAATTTCGGACAATTTGTGAGGAGAAAAAAAGGAAAGTTGTAAGAATCGGAGTAGAGCAGAGTCGGCAGAGTTTAGGTGTTGTAGGACAAAGGGGGGTTTTTTTCACTTTGGGTGACGTCCGCCCCCAATTTCTTAGCGTGCTACTGTGCATAACAGAGTGGAGTGAGTACTGCTCTCTTCTACATTGTATAGCCCTGAATTTGTCAATTTAGGATATGCCAGATGAATGCTAGGTAGTTAGTGATGCTCGGGGGCCCTACTATATATTAAATTTAGGGTTGAGAGCACCATTGCTTGGATATTAAACTATTTTGAATCTGTAAAGATACCGAATTATATACCACGCTACTTATGCTCCCAGAAAAACAAAGTGGAGGTGGATGAATCTTTATAGGGTAGACTGTTGTAGTCACCATTTGAGATCTATGGCATCAATAAAGAGCAAGAGGTACAAAAGTTTATTCTTGGTAACATTTCATTCGTGCTCAAGCGTCCAAGTACTTCATTTATTAGAGAAGCTCGGGATGTCTGAGATTGATTGCCTTGGTCGGATGCATCATCGTTCCCGGTTGGTCTGTAGGAAGTCGTCTAGTGCCTGCATCGCTAAAATCGGTCCTAATCGGGAATAGCGTCATTTCCCCTCCAGCCCTTCTCTGCGAGTCACGATTGCGGGTTCAGCCTCGTGCGCCAAGTCTTGCGGCTTTGCAACGCTCTTATATTGCCTTTGGAAGAGCTAGAATCTGAAATGTCAAGATCAAAGGTCCCTTGCAGGTGCCCAGATGGTCTTGCAGATGACTTTAAATCATCAAGGTCGCCATGTGGTTATCGCTGACAGCGTTCAGCTTCATGGCCACCTCAACTATCGGGTGATCGACCTTGGTACGAACAATATCCAAGCTAATGAAGCAATATCTATTAGCCGGATTATTGCTTGCCGACAGCTGTCCCGCTTGCAGAGATCCCCGCCCCTCGTGGGGAACTCTCTCGTCTTCCTTCCTTCATTCTCTCTTGACTAGCTGCGACAGCATTTTCTCTTCTGTCGAAAGTTTGGAGGAATCCAGAGCAACATCGCCCCTTGCTACCAATGGATGCTCAAGACTTCCCCAGTTCAATTGTCCCTACAGGTACAGCGGGCAAGGACAAACATCTGGTGAACTCGTTTCTGGCGGAGGAAAGATCGATTCAAAATGGAGACCAAGACATCTTGCAGGGAGAGAAGGTGGACGAGGTTCTTGCTGCGAAGATGACGCTTATCAATGATGTGGGAAATCAATATCCGCGCACTACCAATGAGACATGAAATTAACCCGTGGCCCTTTGTCCCCTATGTACAGACCATTGATGAAATTGGTTTCACACCCCACCACTGGAAACTATTTTGCCTGAACGGATTCGGATATGCAGTTGACTCGCTCATTCTCTTGATTCAATCCATTATTTCGACCCAGGCCAGGTTGGAGTTCAACCCATCATATTCCACCGGGCTCACCATTGCGGTTTATGTTGGTATGTTGGTGGGTGCCATATTTTGGGGCTTTTCGGCAGACATTATCGGCCGGCGTTTTGCCTTCAACTTCTCTCTATTTATCTCATCCGTGTTCACTATCGTCGCTGGGGCAGCTCCCTCTTGGGTCACACTGGGATTGTTTGTCTGCTTGAGTGCGTTCGGTGCTGGGGGTAACCTGGTTCTCGATACCACGGTCTTTCTCGAGTACCTTCCTAGCAAGGAACAGTGGCTATTGACACTCATGGCGGCATGGTGGGGTGAGCTTACACTCCCCAGTATACCTTCTATGGATAGTCCGGACTGACTCACAACATCTAGGTCTGGGTCAGCTCATCGCAGGTCTGTTTGCTTGGGCCTTTCTTCCCAACTTTTCCTGTAGCGACGCATCCACGTGTACTCGAGAAAACAACCAGGGATGGCGTTATGTGTGGTACACATCCGGCGCCTTGGTGTTCGTTCTCTCCATCCTCCGTGTGACCATCATCCGCCTTGAAGAGACCCCCAAGTTCCTCATTTCCGAGGGCAAAGACGAACAAGCACTACACGTTCTACGCAACATCGCCGATCGACACAACCGCCCATGCAGCCTCACTATCGAGCGGCTCCAGGCATGCGGACAAACCGCTCGTCGCGGGGTTCCAGGATCTGCTTGGTTTGCACGGCTCGTCTCCCCGAGCGAAGTTCTCTTCCATCTCCGCGGCCTCTTTGAAACTCGCAAAATGGCTCTGTCGACGACCCTGGTCTGGCTCTCCTGGCTCCTCATCGGCCTCGCGTATCCACTTTATAACGTGTTCCTCCCCACCTACCTTGCATCGCGGGGCGCAATGTTTGGAGAGAGTAGCCCGTATATTACCTGGCGAAACTACGCTATCAACAATACCTGTAGTATCTTCGGTCCTGTGTTGGCGGGACTCATGTGTCGCTCGCCCTGGTTTTGGGGCCGTCGGGGAACCATGATTACCGGAGCTGTGGTCACGATGGTTTTCTTTTTTTGCTATACACAAGTGCGCACTGCGAGCCAGAATCTCGGCTTTACGTGTGCTATTTCTTTCTGCTTGAATGTGTACTACGGTACTCTCTATGCCTACACCCCCGAGGCATGTGCTTGCTCACTTTGATTAACTCTGTCCATATCTAATTACTTGATAGGTCTTCCCCTCCGCCCATCGTGGCACAGGAAATGGCGTTGCCATTGGACTCAATCGTATCATGGGAATCGTCAGTGCCGTTATCGGCCAGGCCGCAAATGTACGGATTTACTCTTTGCTTTCCTGGGAAAATGCTTATATTAGTAACAGACCAGCACGCCCGTGCCGATTTACATATGCGCAGCCCTTTACCTTGTGATGGCGATTATTGCCGGAGCTTTGCCGTTTGAACCGTATGGTCGGCGAAGCAGCTAAAGGCTCAGCTAGCCGTTCGCATCTCATTGGTATATACGGAGTAAATACTTCAAATTATTCACCCTCACATTACTATATATCATTAATAGAAAATATGATACCCAGATAGACAGAGCAAATTGTCAATTCTGATTGAACCAGAGAGTACATTTGGATTTATTGCGTGGTGGGATACTTTTCCTATTTGTTCTTTCCTGAAAAGATTTCCCACTCTCGAATGGCCAAAATCACCTAAAACGACTGACATCCAATCCTCGAACTCGACCATTCTCCATGTAGTCAGCAGGGTCATCTGCTCATCTCTCCATAGCCGTCACCACCCTTTGTCTGGCGCCATTTTCCCACCGATCCCATCCCAGAGTAAGACTCAACGTGTCTCTCCACAAATCCTCAGGATCGCCTCCAGGCGGCAACTCCCTACCATTTCCAATTTTCCCATATATCTTCCCTTTTACAAACCGCATATGCCAAGGGATGATCCCGATCTTCTCAAATCCCATCCTCTGCGCAAGTCGAGCACTAGCAAGGTTCATCGTGCTAGCCGACCAATGTACTCTGCGTAATCCAAGGCCTCCGTTCTCCGCGGACTCAAAGGCAAGCTGTAGAGCGAGTCCAACAGCATTAGTTGCCACATGGGTTCCCTGGTACGGAGGCAAGACGACAATGAATCCAATCTCTGTGCACAGGTTCGTCGGCGACGTGTGAATAAAGCTCACAGTGCCAGCAAGCTCCCCTTCAGAGTCTTCTGGGGACGGCGGCTGTGTCTTGTCTATTATGGCAAAGGCGAATGACTCTGGGTTGGAGAAAGACAGAATATGGCTCGTGGAATTACTGTAGAAGAGTGATTTGAGGTCCATTGCTGAAGCCGGGGGTAGTAGGGGTAAGTGTGTGTATATCTCGGGATGGGGCGATGATATGCGGAAGAAGGTTTCGCAGTGTTGGTCTGGATTGAAGGGAATGAGCTTTACGCGTTCATTTGAAGCCTCGCCCACGTGGAAGGGGAAGACGGAGGATGATGCCATTTTGGTCGACGTGGAAATTTTGGGGTTGGAAATATTTTCTCGGTTTTACTCGATGAGTAAAGTTGTACAAACGACTTGGTCTGAAAATATTGTGTCTTATGGGATGAAGTTGTGAGTCATCCGTGAAAGACTGACCTCGATTCTTCAACAGCACAGCCGCGTCGTGCCAAGCTTTATGGCATCTGCGTTGGCCAACGATGATTTAAAGATCACCGGTGAAGGCAACTCGCTCGGTTCAATATATTACTACTAGAAGCATGGGCTGTATGCACTTATGCATAACGGCTCTAGCCAAGGTCCGGTGAATGTTGGTAATGATGGGGAATTTACTACCTAGTAACTAGCTGGGCCTGTGATCGGGGTGGTTTCGCAGATAATTGGTTCAAGGTCTCTATTGCGTATCTGCCACCGTTGGTTGATCCGACGGTGAGTCGGATATAGTCCGCGATCATGGCTTCCAAGGTAACTTGCGTCTTTCGTATCTGATTGCTGAATAATGTCTGTTTGGGCTGTGTAACCGACACGGAGTACGAGATCTGCCTGAAATCCAAACACGATCCCAATAGTCTCGTTCTTCGTTATCACTAAGCTCTATCTTATGGATTATCCAACCTATCAGATCTTCGCAGTCGACGAACGTGGGTCCGACAAAGATTTCCTCTTTGGGATTAGCTTATCGTACCCAAGTATGAACTTGACGATGTGCGACAAGGCGAGACTTGCCAATCACGGCGTTGTGTCTGGGCTATTTTCAAGCGTCAGTGTCCTACGTCTGCATTTTAATTTCTGGCCATGGCGGGGTGAGTCTACATATGACACCCCGCCCTCCCTGTTCAAACGGACACATCCATCTTCAGTGAGCATCACTTGATTCATCCTTTTTTTTACCTCCAACTCTTCAGCACAATCCATACAATGGGTGACTATAAACCAGAACTGGAAGCAGTTTCAGTGCCTACCCCGCCCGAGAAGCAGGTCGACACCACTGGCATCAAACCATCCAGCGGAGTCCTTTACCACCAGCTACGAAATGAGCCCTTGAACATTGTCGGTGGTCGAGGCAGCTACCTGATAACCGAGGATGGTCTCGAAATTCTGGATGCGACATGTGGTGCGGCTGTGTCCTGTCTGGGTCACAGCGACGAGCGTGTCCACGAAGCCATCCTGGACCAGTTAAAGAAAGTCCCCTATTGCTATTCCATGTTTTTCACCAACAATGCTGCGGAGAGTCTGGCAAAATTCCTGGTAGACTCAACTGGAGGCGAGATGTCTCGTGCCTACATCGTGAGCTCGGGTAAGAAATCCGTCCATGCTAAACCAAGATTGGTTACTTAAATCACAATAGGCACTGAAGCTGTCGAGGCTGCTGTGAAGATGGCCATTCAGTATTTCACGGAGTTGCCCGTTCCTGAGCCCCAGCGGGTTAACATCATTTCTCGAAAGTCGTCCTACCACGGAAATACCCTCGGGTCACTTGCTGTTGGATACCACGCCTCCCGGCGGAGGATCTATGAGAGTCTTCTTTCGAAGAATATCCACCACGTGAATCAATGCTACCCCTACCGCAGAATGAATGCGAACGAAAGCACCGAAGACTACGTCGCAAGACTAGCCCAGGAACTGGAGGACGAATTCCAAAGACTTGGCCCCAACACTGTCTGTGCATTCATAGCCGAGACAATGCCCGGTGCTGTGAGTACCACCTGGTCTGGCCAATATAGCAATGCTAACTGTTTCAATAGACTCTTGGCTGTGTTCCCCCGTTGCCCGGATACCTCAAAGCACTCAAAGCCGTCTGCGAGCGACATGGAGCACTCTTCATTCTAGACGAAGTAATGTCCGGCATGGGCCGCACCGGAACCCTCCATGCCTGGGAGCAAGAAGACGTCGTCCCTGACCTCCAGACAATTGCCAAAGGACTCGGTGCCGGCTATGCCCCAATTGCCGGGTTACTCGTCAACAAGCACGTCGTGGATACTCTGAGTAAGGGCACCGGTGCTTTTGTCCACAGTCAGACATACCAGGGACACCCCGTTGCCTGTGCGGCTGCATACAAGGTGCAGCAGATTATACAGGAGGATAACCTGCTGCCGAACGTGCGAGCGATGGGAGAGTATCTGGGTCAGCTTCTTCACGAGCGTCTGGATAGTCACCCTCATGTTGGTGATATTCGAGGCAGGGGTTTGTTCTGGGCTGTAAGTTTTCTTCATTTTCATTGTTGGCGTTTTATTAACACGATTATAGATGGAATTTGTTCAGGATAAAGAGACGAAAGAGCCATATCCGCCTTCAAAGGCGCTTTCTCGGACTCTACATGCGACAGGCCTCAAGCCCGAGTATGCAATTTCATTGATGCCGGGAAATGGTGGTATCGATGGTACTAATGGTGATCATATTATCCTGGCACCGCCTTATAATACTACCCGTGAGGAGATTGACTTGATAGTCGACCGAACTGTTCGGGTTATTCGAGAGGTTCTGGGATAGGGCCTCCTCTGCGATTTAGTCTCTTATCGTATCTTCTTACAATCAGATCTATTGAATTTCCCACTTGATTCCTAATCAATGAGAATAAACGAGTCGATACGCATGTTCGGCGGGACCTTTCCGCTGCTGTATGGTAAATCAATGCCGCGTTGTCTTCCTAGAAATTCCAAAAAAATTCGCTATAGCGACTACTAATCCATTGACGCTTTCTGATCATGATAGATAAACTAATTTCATCGCAATATAACTATATTCTGCGTGTGAAACAATCTAATTGGTCGATTATCAGGTGACTCTCACATAGATAAGGCTGCGGGGAACAACCTTAGAAGACTGATACCTATGGATATATATCACCCCTACTCTTATTCTTTGTCAATCTCTCAATACTCAGTAGCGCATCATCTATTTGCTCATACAGATGGCTGGAAGCGAAAAGTTTTCCCGGTCACGGACTGGTATGGCGGCTCATCCCAGGGCGAAGTACTCCGTAGAGGCGCTAATATAAATGTGCGACAGGATGTCTACAATGCCGAAAAAAGCACAATAAATGTGACGAGCAACAGCCAGTTTGCGCGTTTTGTGCTTCGCGGGACTTGGACTGCAAGTATCCATTGGGTGTGAAATGGGTTCGACCAAAAGAGCCAATGTCCACAAGACATAAGCCTCGCTGCAAAGACCGTCGAGCAATTGAACAAAACATGCTAGGTCGACCCTCGGCACTTTTTACAGAGACATGGTTTGAATCTGCAGAAGACAAATCTGCCTGGGAATATTGTACGTGGCCTCATTCTGTGTAAGTGGAATAGGAATCCCTAATCAAGACCACCTGCACAGACGTAAGCCTCGTTTCATCCAATGTGCCCGCTGTAGATGGCCCGGACAACCCCTACCGGCAGGTCTCTATCCCAGCTCTATCCTCACCAATTCTTCTCGAGACGATTGTCTGCATATCGACAGAACATATGCTCAACTTCGGATTAACCAGCATTGATCTCGCAGCCAAGCGCCAGCAACGAATGCTCAGAACGCTTGGAAAGAATTTGCTCAGTATCGATGCCAGGGCCGCCTGCGACTCAAGTGCAATTGTAGCCAGCAATAAGCACGAGCGAGAAGCGCTGCTCACAGCCGTCGTTCTTCAGGGGATAGTCGTTGCACAAACAGCAGACGGCGTACTGGAGCCCCACGTGAAATGCGCATCCTGGCTTATGCAAGCACTAGGCTACTTCGACGAAATACCCCAGAATCCCATCGCACGCATGACAGTACAGCGCTTCGGCATGGTCGATGTAATGCTAGCCATCTCCCGACAGCGAAGACCCTACGCCCCGCAAAGATTCATACTCTACCAGCCCGACCAGAGTCGCTGGGACACCACCGAGCCCTCATTCCACAAGATGACTGGATGCCCACAGCCCCTGATGTGCTTCCTAGTTCGAATAGCGCATCTAGCCTGCGACGTGAGCGACGGGCTCGAAACACACCCCGACAAAGGCGTTCTCCACGAAGCCTTCCAACTCGACAACGAGCTTCGCGCTTGGGGATGCGGATACCGGGGAATCCCCCCGGCGCGGTGTGAGCGTACGCCCCTGGATATCCTCACCGAGTGCTTTTACTGGACAGCGCATTTGCTGCTTGCGCGTCGGGTTTTTCGAGATCAGACGTGCTCGCCGCGCGTGCAGCATTTGGTACATGTATGCTTTGGGTTGATGGATCATCTGTCGACGGGGTGTGGGCCTGATTCGTCGTTGCCCCAGCCGTTCTACATTGCCGCGAGGGAGGCTGTATCCCCTGAGGATCGGATGTGGGTTCGGCAGAAGCATGAGTCTATGACGGCTTACTATCGAGAACAGCAGCGGAACTCGGCAATGGAGCTTATTGAGCAGATCTGGGAAACTACGGATAGACTGCGTGAGTTGGGTAATGACTCCGGTTGGCCAAGGGGGATTGAATTGTCAATTGTGGATAGCTATGTGCAAGCGCTTGATCGAGGGGCTTGTTTCTTCATCTTCTAACGAAGTTAATATTTTTGGAATATTGGATATTTTAGGGGGCTTTCTCTTTCCCGGTAATTATGGATGAACCGGTTCGCGGAGTTAAAACAATGAACTGTCCCAGGGGTATTTGCTTATTTGCCTAGATTGGAATGCCCGGGATTTTGCATGTCAAGGATGATAATGCACTACATATCATATTAACGGAAATGCGAATACTACATGCAGTACGGGGTCAGAATGCCCGAAGTAAAATACTACAATGTAAGAAACAAACGCACCGGAGAGTTGAGACGATTCAGGACTATTAAAGACTACGGAGTACTCCGTATATCCAATGTATATAATAATGTACAGAAGTTGTAACTATGTTGTATAGTTATCATATGACAGGATCAGTATCATAAAACCGGATATGGCGGATGTACGACTTGGGGCAACGAAGGAGAGTTGCACCCTGAATTCAGTACCGGTCGGGGTCGGGGTCTAGAATGACCTGTCATGTCCCACCGACCAATCATAATCAATGCCGGGGCGGGTACCTGAATGTTTCTCCTTTGGCGGTCCGCGGAACTGCACGTGTAACTGCAAGCTTATTGGCCGAGTCCACTGGATTAGCCCCTGGCACCGTGGTCCACCGGCTCGAATCAGGGGAAACTTGCCAGGGGAAAACTATCACATCGTCCTTCCAACTCCGTCCGCCCTCGTTCATTCGTCAAACGCTTTGTCGAACGCATTGACTTGACACTGTCTCAGATTCCCGATCTCACGTGGATGTATTCCAGTGTGTTTGTATTCATTCCCATTTCCAGGTTGAACTGCCCCCTGAGAGTCACACCGTTGGACAAGACATCGAGTAAGGAGTGGCACTACCCCTCTTCCAAACAATGGATGTTCACGCTGCGTTCTTATTGCTCCAGGTCGCCGTGCTGCTTTAGACTCATGCAGGCCAACGCAGGGGCCAAAACCAGTTTTCCCTCCACTCCATACATACCACTTCATGCACTCGACCCGGATGGAAACACCTCCAGGATTTTCTGCAATCTGCAATCTCGTAGAAAACATCAAAAGAGGAAAAAAACGTAAGAGAACTAAAAAAAGACAGAAATCGAGGCCCTAACCAGAAAAAAAAAAAGAAAAAAAAGAACAACGGGGCCCCCACGAGGTGCCAATAGTCCAGAAAGGCTCCGGTGCGTTGGCCATCAACCGGTTCCCTCTGTGTAGTCAGCATCTCCCATCTCCTGATCCGCTTCTTCTGCCCTGCGCTTCTTGTATTCTCATTCCCTCCATTCTTTTCTTTTTCTTTTGCGTCCGTTTCATTCTTTCACGGCGACATTATACCTCACTCATTTCTGCCCAATTCATTCGTTTCCTCGACGGTTTGCCCCCCCTCCCGTTCCCGCCCCGTTGATCGATTCAACCTGGGTATTTGAGCATCTGCAGAAACATCTTTGATTCTTCATTGATTACTGTCGATATAGGGAGATATTTATTCCCCTGCCATTCGTTTCCAGCTGCTTTGGCCAGCCTTTTTATTTATCCCCTCTTTTCTGGACGCCTCTGCGACGCGCCCTTTCAACCCAACCCCCCAGTCACTGACGTGGACACCCTCGAACGCGATTGGATCCCTACGCTACACTTCCATTCATTTATATCTTCAACCTGACCCTCTCGCGCCTGTGGCTGCTTCGAGGGAATCAACTTTTCCAATCCTCCGTCTCCGTACCGCACACCCACCTCATTATTTGTCGGCCGGATCGTCACACCTACTTTTTCTTTCCGAAAATAAACAATATACGCACCCAAAAAACATACTGAACAGCTTGAACACAATTCCGATTTCGTGCGATATATTTCTCTACCGAATCACGCTACATTATGTCTTTGTTGACAGAAATGCATTACCCATCAAACGGCGCAATTGCGCCCTCGTCTTCCTCGCCTCCAGCCTCTACGCCCTCTCCGTCAACCTCGAGTGCTACAACGGCCCATTCGTCGGTTACGCGCCGACCTCCTCGCAAGAGCACTCTGACTCAACAACAGAAAAACAACAAGCGTCAACGCGCAACACAGGATCAGCTTGTCCTTCTAGAGATTGAATTCAACAAGAACCCAACACCTACTGCGGCTACCAGGGAACGTATTGCTTCAGATATTAATATGACCGAGCGGTCTGTGCAAATCTGGTTCCAAAATCGGTAGGTGCTACTCGGGATTGTATTTCTATTATCTTTACTGACTCAGGTTAGCCGCGCTAAAATCAAGATGCTGGCCAAAAAGAGCATCGAGACCGGCGAAGGATGTGACTCTATCCCGGAATCTATGCGACATTATCTCGCGATGCAGTTTGATCCGAACAAAGCTGGCGCAAGAGACCCATTTGGACGGGTTGGCGCATACGGCCAGCCTAGCATGTACGCAAACGAGACCAGCCCTTCTGGCAAAGTCGGTATGTTGATAGCTTCCTCCGCTCCATCGTCCATTAATTAATTGGTATATCTAGTAATTTCTCACTTCACCTGTCGTTCCTTGACTGTCGGCAGCTGGCGGCGCATTGGACAAAACGCCATGGACTTGGTCGTTTTCTATTCCCCTGATAAGGCATGCATGACTTACTATATCAACAACGATGCTGCCGGCTATAAGATCGAGTATCCGTTCGCCTATATCAAAAACATCACCTTGGAAACTGGTGATCCCAGCCCTGGGCCGAATGGGGAACCACCTCGACCAGGTGGTCTTGTTGTGGAGTTGAACCGCCCGCCGCACTTTTACATGGACTCGTCTAACTCCGGGGGATTCTACCAATGCGGTGATTTCACCGAGGAGCAGCAAGCTAGTCAGATCATGGTTCATCACCTGGGAGGCCATCCCAAGGTCTTGAGCGTTCAGCTTGCCAAGCTTGTATCGTTGGAGTCCTTCCAGAACCGCCTAGCTTATAATAACAGCAGCTTCGCCGTGCCAGCTGCGATGTCCCCGCCATTTATCCAGCGTCCTGCATCTCAGCCCAACCATTTTGCTGCTCCAACTTACATGAACCTGTACCAGGACAGCAACCACTTGGGCTTCAACATGCCAGCTGCTCGTGGCCACAAGCGCCAACGAAGCCGTTCGGTACCTGTTGCAGTTGACATCTCGACATTCCAGAGTCCCATGTCTTCCTTCCATGTGCCACCTCCACCCCCATTCAACCACACCGAAGCAGGCATCTACGCACCCGTTCCACAGTCAGTGCATCATCTCCCCACCGACCTCCGCATCGATACCCAAGGATATGGGCTAGATTTCCACAACCCCATGTCCGCGACGACCACCGGTTCGCCTCCCGACTTCGCCAGTCCCATGTACAGCAACGCCGGTCAGGACGAGTCCACACCAATCGCCAGCATGGCGCCTCAGTTCAACGTGCCCTTCGTCTCGGGGGGTTCAACGGATGCCTCGGCAATGGGCTCTCACGCACCGTCTCCTTACTCCAGCATGAGCCCTGCCGACCCACTGATTGCAAACCACTCGCCGCCACTATCCAGCATGTCGCACGGCTCGTCCGATATGTACGGTTTCTCGCACGACCAGCAGACTAGCTTCGACGACGGTCTCTCGATGAACGATATGTACTCGAAGCATCATGTGAACTATGACGTTTCGCACGAAAGCCCCAGCTTCGAACTACCTATGCACGGCCTCTCTGCTCACCCTTCTCCCGGCATGGGTGATTACTCCCACGGTATGGCTAACCTGGATGAGATAAACTCGCAGGGTATGCCAACTGGGTCATAACCACGAGTGTGGTGCCTCTCGGGGTTTTCTTTGAATTTGTGTTTCTCCTTTGTCTCTTGATGTTTCACGGCCTTTTCTGTGCATGCGGCGCTTATGCTTGTCGATGGGTTCTTTGGGGTTTTTTTCACCTTGGGAAATTTCTTAGTTGTCCGATATCAGCCTAGGTCGAGTTTCGGTGTTTTGAAACACCCACTCGACGGCTCTTTTCGGATGATTCTCGTCTCGCTGGCGATGGCTAGGGAAGCGATTTTACCCTTTGATGTGTTTCTTGCGTGACATACCCTTGTGTCTTGTTGTATTGATTATACCCTTTCTATTCTGGGGCCGGTCCTGAAGCGATTTTTTGCTCTTTTTGTTTCTGTTTCCCACAGGACCTTTTTTTTCTCTTCTTCTTTGCTCCCGGTCAATTTACTATTCTTCATGTTCTTCTGACTTATGACCGGGATTTTCACTATTCTTTGATTTTCTCCATTTTCCACATTTCTCTTTTACGTGGTTATGCCAAACAGACCGACTTGGATTGCGACTCCATTCCCCTCCATTTCTTTGATTCTCTTTTGTGTGAATTTCAAGGCTGGTGCTAGATTTCTGTCTGCCCTGCACTTTCGCTGTGATTACAATGGTCCGTTTTCCCATCATGGGTCTGGAGTCGAGTTTTTGCACATGAGCTTGTTATGTCGGCACCTGTTTGGGTCAGACATCCAACCAACGCCGATCCTCTGGGCTGCGCAGAGTTGTGATATCTTCTGCCCGAGACCATACAAGTAGGACAGCGCTGAGCTGGCGGTATACGAGTTTGGGGGATTGACGCTAGGCTCTGAATAAATTCATTTTGCAACAGCTCTATGTAGATTGTAGCCGTAGTTCAGTCCGACTATACTGGACACTGGTAAAAACATACTAGTACAGTTTATACAAGGGTATCAAACGTCTCATATCCACCACGCATTACACGCCTTACGACTGCTTCTGCTTCTCCCACCCTATCGGCAAAGGCGCCTCATACCCTCCCTTCACCCTAAGGAACCATTCAATCCAAACCTCCATCTTCTCCAAAACATTCCGCTCCGGCTTCCCCTCCATCCCAACATCAAACGCACCCTCCTTACACCAAACACTCCACGACCCCATCATCCCCGCCATAAGCACATCAGTCCCAAGCCGATCCCCAACAACAGCAATCTCATGCGGAGAATCAATAACCCCCCTCTCCCGAAACCACCGCACAACCTCCTCGCCGCAAA